TCTATCTATCTATCTATCTATCTATCTATCTATCTATCTATCTATCTATCTATCTATCTATCTATCTATCTATCTCAGTGTTTTTCAACCACTGTGCCTGAAAATATTGTAACACAGCTGCAGCCGTGAGGTGACCACGCTCGCCGCCTCCTGCACCTCAAAATTAATAAGACCTCCCCGAAAATAAGGCCAAGTGCTTATTTCGGGGGTCAAAAGAAGATAAGACCCTGTCTTATTTTCGGGGAAACACGGTAATAGAATTCTTTATTGGCCAAATGTGATTGGACACCCAAGGAATTACCCTTCAGCGTTTAAATTTGTCTCTGCTCAGTTTTGTCCCTTTTTTACGAACGTCCTTGCCACCGTTGGTAAGTGAATCACAGCAGCTGGCAAATTAGTAACCTGTTTGGGAGATGAACCTGGCTCCCCCCCCGACTCAACTTATGAACGTAACAGAGCTCAACATTTCTGTCGCGAAGGGAGGCATCTGTGTGAGTTTTGTTCCATGTTACAACTTTTCTCGCCACCGTCGTTAAGCCAATGGCTAAAGTTGTTCAGGTCGTCAGATGGTCGTGAAGCGAATTTGGCTTCCCCTGCGGATTTTGCCGGTCAGGTCGCCGAAGCAGATCACATGACCTCCCCCCACTCCCCGGGGACCACTACGACTGTCGTAAGTATGAGTCAGTATGAAGCATCTGGATTTTGATCACGTGATGGCGGAGATGCCACAATGGTTGCAAGTTTGGAAAACGGTCACGACTCACTTTTTTCAGGGCGGATGTAACTTTGAACGGCCACTAAATGAAGCCGTTGGAAGTCGAGGACTGCCTGTCCTGCAAAGCCATGGGCTTGAATCTTGACTCTGGGAAAGCGGGAAGGGAGGCAGAAAAAGGGGCCTGCTCACTCCATTGCCTTCCTTTTCTCTTTCTTTCCTTCCTTCATTTGCTCTCTCCTTCCCTTTTCCTTCTTTTTCTACCCCTCCCTCTCATTTCCCTCCCACCTTCCAGTTCTTCCTTCCCTCTTCTTTTGCTTTCTCCCACCCTTTACCTCCCATCTTTCCCTTTCTACCCCTTCTTCCCTTTGATTTTCCTTTCCCCTCTTCTCTTCCCTACTTTTCTTTCTTTCGCTCCTTCCCTCCCTTTTCCTTCCTCCACTCTCTAAGCCTCCCTCCCTTCTGCCCTTCCTGTTCTTTTTTCCTTCCTTACTTCACTCCATCTTTTCGTTCCTTCTTTTCCTCTTTTTCCTTTCTTCCTTTCCTTTCTACCCCTCCCTCTCCCTTCCTTTCCCTTCCTGTTCTTTCTTTCCTTTTTTTTGCTCCTTCCCTCCCTTCCTTTACCTACCTTCCTCCCTCCCCTTACCTTCCTTCTTCCCTTTCTACCCCTCCCTCCTTCCTTTCTGTTCTTTCCTTCCTTCCTTCCTTTTCTCTCCTTTCTTTTGCTCCCGCCCTACTTTTTCCTTCCCTCTTTTCTTTCCTTCTCTCTTTCATTCTCCCTCCCTTATCCTTCCTCCCCTCTTCCTCCCCCCTTCTGCCCTTCCTGTTCTTTTTCCCTTCCTTCACTCCATCTTTTCGTTCCTTCTTTTCCTCTTTTTCCTTTCTTCCTTTCCTTTCTACCCCTCCCTCTCCCTTCCTTTCCCTTCCTGTTTTCTTCCTTTCCTTTTTTGCTCCTTCCCTCCCTTCCTTTACCTACCTACCTTCTTTCCCTTCCTATCATTCCTTCCTTCCTGCTTTTTTTCCTTTCTTTTGTTTCCTCCCTCCCCTTACCTTCCTTCTTCCCTTTCTACCCCTCCCTCCTTTCTTCCTGTTCTTTCCTTCCTTCCTTCCTTCCTTCCTTCCTTCCTTCCTTCCTTTCCTCTCCTTTCTTTTGCTCCTGTCCTACTTTTTCCTTCACTCTTCTTTTTCCTTCTCTCTTTCACTCTCCCTCCCTTATCCTTCCTACCCTCTTCCTCCCTCCCTTCTGTCCTTCCTGTTCTTTTTTCCTTTCTTCACTCCCTCTCTTTTCTCTCCTTTCTTTTGCTCCCTCCCTCCCTTTCCCTCCCTCCCCTCTCTACATCTCCCTCCTCCTCTACCCCCCACAGAATTTCCCCATTTTTGAGAAAAGTGGATTTCACCTCTTGGCATCCCGGATGGGAGATTCTGGAGCCGAGTCCAGCCATCTCTTGCGGCCTGGAGCAGTGGGCACCCCTGGCCAGGTCAAATGGGGCCAGCCAGACTTGTGAAGCTGGGGAAACGGGTTCAAGAGAAGGCGCCACACCTGGCAGCAATTATCCAAGGGCTTTTATTGAGCCCGGCCAAAGGGAGGCAGACCTCAAAGGCATCTGAGAGCATAGCTATTATTCTAGGATAATGATTAGTTCTCAGGCTGATAGCTCTGGAGAAAGATCGGTAATAATTAAGATTAATCGGGCAATTTTTAGGCTGTTTTTCAGGGCATTTATTTATTTTTTTGCTTTTTTTCCGGAGCTCCAAAAACAGCTTAAAAAATGGCCTGGAAAACAGGCAAAAACGAGCTGAAAAAACGACTCAAAACTGTTTTGGGGACGTTTTTGGCTGTTTCCATGCCGTTTCCTGGCTCTTCAGGAGCTGGCTGGCGACGGCATAAATGCCCACACTCTGCGTGCTACCCCTGGCACAAATGCCACAGGTTCACCGTCACGGGGATGCAAAGTACAGGTAGTCCTCAACTTACAACGGTTGATTGAGTGGCCGTCCGAAGTTACAACGCCATTTGAAAAGAAGCGACTCGCGGAGACCGTTTTTTTTAAACTTATGGCCACTGCAACTTCCCCAGGGTCAGATGGGGGGGGAGGGTCAGGGAAGGAAAAGGAAGGAAGGAAGGAAGGAAGGAAGGAAGGAAAGAAAAAAGAAGGAAGGAAAGAAGGAAGGAAAGGAAAGGAAAGAAGAAAGGAAAGGAAAGGGAAGGGAAGGGAAGAAAAAGGAAGGAAGGAAGAAAGGAAGAAAGGAAGAAAGGAAAGAAAAAAGAAGGAAGGAAAGAAGGAAGGAAAGGAAAGGAAAGAAGAAAGGAAAGGAAAGGGAAGGGAAGGGAAGAAAAAGGAAGGAAGGAAGAAAGGAAGAAAGGAAGAAAGGAAAGAAAAA